GGGTTTGTTTGAGCCACATTTTTGTTAAAAAATACATTTTTGAATAGTATGAGAAATGTGTCGTTAAAAAATAAGGAAACATTTTGAGTTTGTGTGCAATATTATTTTATTGAAAAATGTGTAGTTGAAATGTGGTCCAAACATTATTCAATGATGCATTTTTAAAAAACAAATTGCGCTCAAACAAGGCTAATAAGACTTGTAATTCAAAATTATTAGTTATCATTTTCAATAATTAATCATTCTTCAATATTCTAGAACAACTTTGAATTGATATAAAAACAACGATCAAAATTACGAGAGTAACGAGTACAGAAGTAAAGTAGTTGTTAACTAGAAGAAAAGAGAATCTAAGAATTGAATTCCTTTTTGTTTAACTGCTAGTGTTGTTCTCTTCCTTTTCTCAATCACTTCGATCAAGACACGTGGATTGATTCATTTATTCACAATTGTCTACCTTCATTTGCGATTATGAATTTGATTCAACTCAATTTGATGTTCGAGTCTTGAATTGAATATCTAATTGATACCCACGAATTAACTTTACTAGGAGCATTCGAATAATTGTAAATGTCAAAAGCATTATTTAACAAAATATTTAATGATTTTCTTAAGAATTACCCGAAGTAATCACATGGGGACCATGCCCAATAACATTAAAAAATTTCAAATGGGAATCACCCAGTTTGAAATGTGACTGATGGTGCACAAGTTGATAAATTAAATTTGCTAAATCTTGTTATTAGAATATGCTTGATATGGTTATTGATGGTTTGGTTGGTCAATCATATTAGTGGCAAAGTTGAGTAAATTTTATATAAATTAGTCTTCCCTTAAGAGATTTCCATGGCAACAATGGAGGATCATGCAACAAGGTGGTTTAATGTCCAATCTGTGCCTCACAGTTATACATTTCCCCTAGAAAAAAGACCAGGGAAACTCCCTTTTTCTACATGCACTGCAATCCCAATCATCAACCTTAACAGTCCAGAAAAATCAGACACAATTCAGAAAATCATTAAAGCTGGTCAAAATTTCGTGTTTTTTCAGGTCTTTTATTTTTTCTTTTAAATGGAGACTTACTAAAAATGGTTCGTGTGGTCGACTCTAGATTTGTTATCTTATATGATTGTTATTGGAATTGCAGGTGATTGACCATGGAGTTTCAGAAAGTGTATCAACTGAGGCACTTAATGTGTTAAAGGAATTATTCAATATGCCACTCGAGGAAATTTCGAGGGATGCCATAAAAAATGGTTGGGTGCATATGGGCAGCACCAGTTTTGACATAGATGGTGTTCATTTGTGGAGGGATAACATTAAACACCCATGTCACCCCTTGGAAAAATGCATGCAACATTGGCCTCAAATGCCAACTAGGTACAGGTAATGTCTCAAAATTCCCTTTTCAGCCCACAAAATTTTATTTCTCGTCCAAGAAATGTGTTTAACACACTTACGTACGTGCAAGTTTGCGATCGTGAGTTTCAATGCCCGACACACAATCACGCATGCACGAGTTTGTAAATTTTAAACGTGTGTGTGACCATCAAGGGTTTTAGAACCCGAAATGTCATGTACACGTTCTCTCAGGATTCATACACGATTCTGAAACTCATGGCATGATGAACGCGTTTAACACGAGGATCTTTTGCGGTGATTTTCAGAGAGGTGATGGCAACATATGTACAAGAAATAAGAAGATTGAGTTGGAGAATTCTTGAGCTGATTTGTGAAGGATTGGGACTTGAAAAGGGATTCTTTGAAGAAATAAGTCAAGTCCAATTTCTATCAGCAAGTAATTATCCAGCATGCCCAGACCCAAGTGTGACTTTGGGAGTATTAAAACATTTTGATCATAGCTTTATAACAATACTATTTCAAGGGAATGTTGATGGGCTTCAAGCGTTACATGATGGCAAGTGGATTGGAGTTGGGGTTTTACCTAATGCCTTTGTTGTCAACATAGGCACTCAATTAGAGGTATATTTCAACTGTTCAATTATTTTTAGAGATACTGCTCATTTCTTTATGAAAATAACTTTTTTCTACACCCTTTTAATTATATTCGATAAAGAAAGTAGAAAACTGAGCGAAAATTTCTCATAATCTGAAGAAGGAAAAAAAAAATCCATTATGATGGGATTCAAACTCAAGCGAGTCTGACAATATATAACATGTATTTCAATATGTTAAAATAGACACAACCGAATGTCAACCGACAAATTATATCTCACCTCTCTCTTTCTTAATCTTTTCAAGTCTAACACTCGCTTCTTTTGGTGTAGATTATGAGCAATGGAAAGCTAATAAGTGCAGAACACAGAGTAATGACAAATTCAGATGAAGACAGATTAACCATTACCACATTCATTAATCCTTCTCCAAATTGCATAGTTGAACCAGCCAAAGTTTTGATTAATGAATCAAATCCTCCTTTATATGATTCATTTATGTACAAGGATTTTGTTGTTTCTTCCAAAGCCTTTGGTCCTTATACTGAAGTAGTTCAAACAAAGGATTAATCCATAATTGGAACATTATGGAATTTGTATTTACTTATTCAAATGTGTTAAATTAAAAGAATTGTTTATTTTACTACATGATAAGTAGGGTTGACAAAAGTAGGTCTTTTTTTGAACGAGATTGAAATATTTTTTCAAGAATACTTTAAACGAGTTATTACGATCTTCTCAAATTTACGAATATTTCTCATATTGGTATTTAATGTGAAAGTTCTAGTTCAATTTTATTGTATTACGATGGGTCTTTTGACATCATGAGGTTACTAGTTCGAATTTTTTTCCTATAGATATAGATATTCCTCTTCGAACATTGAAGATATATCGTAAGACATGACATCAAAATTTGAATTATGTGTGTGATACTGTGATTTCTTCAAAATATTAATGTTATTTAGGGGTTGTTTGACAAAGCGTTTGATAAAAGTTTTCAAAGATTTTGATAAAAACTTATCAATTGTGAAAATTAATTATTGACTATGATTTTAATTTTTAATAATTTTTTTAAGTTATCACAAACAAACGCTTAATATATGCATGTCCATTTCAAATTAAAGGTGAAGATTTGTAATGGGCTTAGGGCCCAATATCAGCCCATTTTGAAGCCTGTTTAGTTTGATCGGGCTATTAAAGGCCTTCTACAGCCTCAACATGGTCAAGATTTTAAGCTCGGCTGACTGGCTTAGCGAGTCAAGAAACAGAAGGCTCATGGCTCGTAAAAGTGGAAATTACAGGAAACCAGACCTTTTTTTTCACATTTTAAAAATTCATGTTTTCACCTTTTTTTTCATTTATCAGGCTTTTATCATTTTAATTAAACAATTAATCTTTTAATTAAATGACGCGCGTAACCCCTTAATTGTGGGTTTCAAAATGGTTAATATCTCAACTTCCATATCTAAT